TTGCGTTTTGAGGTGTCATGCCATTTTTAATCAATTTAAAATTACGCGACAAAAGTATCGAGCACACAAAATCGCATGTGGTGGGAACCTTTAGAAGAGTCTTCCAATTTGAGATAATAATCAAGAGTGCGAATTCAATTAAACTCCAAGAACGTCATCAAAACTTTTTAGAGACCACCGAACCGATAAAAGCACCATTTGTTAACAAAAAATATAGAATTTTGTTTGGGTTTTATTAAATAGCAAAACGAATTTTACGTCAAAGAAAATTAAAGGATTGAAAAGGTCAAATTGAAGCTGCGTCTTTCTTCAGGCTTATTTTCATGGACCGTTCTGAAAATTAAAAGGTAGAAATTGAGCAGTTTTTTGCATTGGTATTGTTTTTTTCTCCAAAAAAAGTTGTTCGATTTTTTCCCCCCTTTGATACTTTTTCAGAAATCCCTTTTTGGCCGACCGACCCTAAAATTTTTCTAAAGGCGCCTTCGGCGCCAATATATACTAACTTTGAGGGGGAGCGCGCGCCAAAAAAACGCTATTTTTTTGTCAAAATTTTTCAAAAAGTGCCCCCTCGAGAAAATCCTAGATCCGCCCCTGATACCGTTGAAAATATAATATTGTATATGCAAAAAAAAACTATGAGGTTTTGTAGGACATTTTCACTTTCTCGAACTCCATTTTGTATCACTTATGGTAGTTTCACGAATCTAAAATAATTCAATACATCAGTTTTTTCTTTATACAAAATTTTTAATGTTCATTGAACAATTTCAGCTTTTTGCTTTTTTTGTAACGAAAATCGAAGTGAAGCTAATTCTTGAGGTCTTTTTGCATTAGTTGAGGCAGGTTCAAATTCCAGGTGCCGACCTCAATAACAAAATCGAGACTGAAAAATGTTTTTTTTTTTGGCCGAGCACAGCTCCGTGAAAACCAGGTAAGTATTAAGCAAAACAGATTTCAAAATTTCCAGGAAATTTCAAAATTTTAATTGATTTGAAAATTGATTTCAAAGTTTTGCAATGAGTCGGCTTAGAGAAGGTTAAAAACTGGCAATGCATTCGATTTGGAGTTTTGACCTCAAAAACTCCCGGTTGGTCTTTCCTTCCATGTAGTGAGAGCCCAAAACATAATAGACATCTTTTTCAAATATTTTCTTGAGTTTTGCAGCTGTAAATTGTGTTTTTGTCGAAACTTTTTAAATCTATCAACAAACAATGAATTTCCTTGTTTCAACAACAATTTTTTTGAATGTTTAAAAACAATGAAAAAAACTGACTGAAAAACATGAAATTGCTTGCAACGGCGTCAATGGTGCTTAGTATAAAAAGTCTGTTTTGATACAAACCAAGTTGAAGACAAAATGCAAGACAAACTACAAGAATTTGAACAGGTGCGAGGAAGTGAAATATCGTACAGCGCTTTGGACTGACATTTTATCGAGTTTGTGTAAATTTTGATTCATCAAATTGTCCCATATGTGATTGTAATTACATTAAAACACAAAAATGTTGTAAACAATTACACAAACAAGGATCTGTTTTGAATTGTTTTTATTTAGAATTCATTTGAAGAATTTTGGAGGTTCCAATAGCCGAAATTCATACTAGGAAGGACCCATTTTTTCCTCTAAAACAGTGCCGGATCTAGGGTTTTCTCGTAGAAAACTGTGGATTTTCAAAACAGCTTCCAAAATTTTGTCGTTTTTTTTTGTTTCATCGACCAAATTGAATTTCCTAGCTCTCTCAAAGCACAAATTTATGCGCCACAGGCAGAATGTTGAAAAGAAAGGCCAAAAACGGACGTTTGTAAGCGCTTTTTGGAAAATTTTGACCAAAAAATTGCGTTTTGCAGCGCGCGCTCTCCCTCAAAATTAGCATGTATTGATGCCAAAGGAGACCGTCATTAAAATGGGGATCTCAAGAGTGTACAAAGCGGGACCCTTTGATCGAATCCCTGGCAGGGGGGGGGGGTCCACCAGGTCCTTCCACGCCCCCTCCCAAACCCGCCCCTGCTCTGAAATCTATATTTTTGAACACTATTACCAAAAAAGCTGAAAATTCCAGATGAAATTTTTTATCAGGGTTTCAATTAATCTACGAAAAATTAAATCCGTTACACTCATTTTGGTGTGATGTCAATTTTTCTGTTTTCCTTTTTACTGGGCTCCGACATTTTTTGAATAAGTTATTTTACTTTTAGGAACCACAAATGAAGGAAACAAATCACATCTTTACAATCAGTAAACGGCTTATAAAAACTAAAATTTCAAAAAATGGATTTCTGACAGTTAGTCCTGAAAAAGAACGGGTAAAACTAGCTAGTGTAATAGACCCACCTGAAAGAATGTCCACCAATGTGATCGGCCCAACAGGCGTCGACGTCATAAATTGACTGTAAAATTGACGGCTTTGATGTTTTTTTTTTGGGTTTCATCATCACTTTATGCAACGCTCATCAGGCTTAAATTGTTTTTTTTTATCAATCATTCACTCATTCTACATGCAGAGTTGTTTTTATAACTAATTGCGAACCAGTTTGTGTTTCATATCTCTTGCATTTAAGGTTGCGACATTTCAGCGCACCAAAAAACGCACGTTGTTCTATGTTCTTCTCAATGATCATTTTAAGATTTGCTTGACGCTATGTTTGAATGGGATCCTGTTTTTGAATGGGAGAAATCCCTGTAATATATGTTTCTGATTTCTATTTTTGTTCCTCAGTTGACAACAAGGCGGAAAAAAAACGATTTATTGCTGAACCAAAGTGTACCACAAAATCGATTGCCGTAAAGTATCAGCAAAATACTATAAGATTTCTTCTCCGTTATCCAAAATGAACCAACATTTCCAATCGAATACAAGAATGAGCCTATGAATTTATTTTTGTTTGGCCGTTTTGGGATTATTTTAGCTTTTGAATTTTGTTTGGTTTTTTACCGTATAGCGAATGGGGCGAAACACTCAGCGTAGAAGTAATTGCAAACTGAAATGAGACAAGGTTGTTGAGCCCCATAAAGCGTACCCGGACTGAGCTGGTTCTTCAATTACAAAAAAAATTACCAATCAGAAAATACTTTGAAGCGTATTATTGACTCAGGGTTGATTTTACAATTTATTTTTTCTGTTTAGTAACAAGAATAGTCGGTTGCTGTGCAAGTACCACAGAATGCTTGGACCATAAATCCTTAAAAAGTATCTAATTTGTTTGTTCAAAACACAAGTTTTTTGTGCATGTGTGAAAAAAAGTCTGCCGAAAGCCTTGATTTTTGGCATTTTCGACAATCGAATTTACGCAGGCAAAATTTGCATAAACGTTGTCAAAAAAATCCAAGAAAAAAAATGCCAATCAATCATTTTGTAAATGGATCGAAATTTTTTCCTCCAATTTACTTTTGCAGAGATTTTTTGAAATCTTGAAATTTGTATTCTCAAGACCGCACCTTAAAATTTTTTGAAGTTTTTATTACTACAGTTAAACTATAACTTCATTAGGCTATTATCAATTAAATGTCTTTATTTGCTAATTTTATTGCTCGGATCAGAACTAAAATGCAAAATTTGAAGCCGTTTTTCTCAACTCGGGGAAATTTTTTAGAAATCACTTGCCCTTTCTGATGATTATTTGTGGCACCTGATTTAGCGTGGAAAACAGAAAAAAACTAAAACACAACTGAATACAATGTTGCTCCCCACTTTTTATATGAGAAGAATTAGCTAAAAGTAGGCTAGTTTCAGCAAAAAAGTATACCTTATTCATATTAGCTAGGCAATAGAGTTAGCCACATCAACTGAGGATTACTTATGGTTGTAGGAAATTATTGCCAAGTAACAAAAGGTTGAAACAAGGTATAAAAACAAAGTGTTGTTTTGCATTGTAATGTTATGACTATTGTTCATCCTGGAAATCAGGTAAAAACAACAGGTGTCTCCGGCACCGAAGTGTCATGGATAAAAATTGATTAAAATGGATTTTTGTTGATTAAATTGTTGTCTATATAATCGATTATCATGGCAAAATTAGGCAACCTAATAAATTTTTAATCAATTTTAACCGATAGTTTTTGAACAATGAAAAACCTGATATCCATCAAAATTGATTAAATTTTGTGAATATTGACTCTACTTTTCGCAAATTTCTGCAAAACTCGAGCAAACACTTTCATCCAGGGCAACCAATATGTAGTAACTTTGAAGGTGCCAATATACAGTAATTTTCCAAAAAGTGCCCAAGAACGGCATTTTGACCAGTTTTTTTTTTCAAGTAAATTTGCATGCCCACCCCAAGTCCCCACTTACGTCCAACTTGTCCCTTTTCCCCTCGTTCCCCTCAACTTTCACTCCTTTTCCGCATTTAAACCCAAACCAATTCCCTCCCCGCGCGGTTTCTGCGCCCCAATAAACACTAAACTCTCCCACCGGGACAGGTAACTATGTTGTACAGGTAAACGTTTACCCCCCTCCCCTTCACGTTTACCCATAGTTTATAATTACCTATCCAGGTGGGATGCTTAGTGTGTAGTGGGGGTGTGGTAAACGCTTTGGAAGGGGTTGGGTTGGGTTTCAACGGTGGATCGGCAAAAAAACTCAATTAAATTAGTAACAAAATTAAATAATTTTTTATGAATTTTCTTTTAAGCGATTGAAATAAATTAGGAAAAAGTTGAAAGGTAGCAAAATAATTAAATTCAATTTATTATTAATATGAGAAAATGAAAAGGGCAGACTGAAAGAATTTTATCACTGGAATATAATCCATTACAAACGATTAAAATTGATTATTTTTCTTTGATAAAATTTGATAAAATTTTTTGAAAATATGTTGAAAATAATCGAAGTATACTAGATAATAATCCTTTTTGGGTTTTTTTTTCTAAAAAAAGTGTATCATTATAAATCACTTTTAATCGATTATAATCAATTAATTTTGTTATTTTATAGAGACTGACAATTAATACCTAATATACTTGATCATTATCCATGAAACTTCAGTGGAAGCTCGTTTTGGACGGGCGGTGAACTAGTTGAGCTGATGATTGGAAATGATTGAACTGGTTGAGAGACTGAATAGACTTTTCATAAGAACATTTTTTTCTAATATTAGTTATTTTACATATCTTTTTTGTACAGAAAACTCGAAAAATTATGTTAGATTATCAAATTAAAATTTTATCCAGATTAGACTGTAGGGTATGTGTAATAAGGCTGATATAGCACCTTCGAGTGTTTAAGCAAATAAGCAAACTCATCTCAGACACCTTGAAGGGGAATAAAAACATTCAAAGTTTGCTCTGGTGCGAGCCACTTATTTGGTATTTGAAATTAGGGTTTTAACAGAGTCTATTAGTGATCAAAAAGTGCATGGCTAAATTGAAAGGCATTTTATCTTCCATTTACAGGTTTTTTTCAGTGCAAAATTTGTTTCAGAGTTCCACTTGTATATTTTTCTCCCTAAAGTCGATTCAAGTTTCCTGGTCTAGTGCTATAACTGGGAGCTCAATTTGTGAGATGGAAGTTATTAAACCCTAGGCTAATATAATAAACCACGAAATATTTCATTTTTATTTACAGTTTCTACAATCAAGTTTTCTTTGTTTCTTCATCGTTCCAGTGATGTACCCGTCATCTCCGCAGGTTGGCTCTGATTGTCCTTCCGAATCCCCACAGCTATCATGTTCAACATACTCTCCATTTTTTGACATCTATCATTCACTTCAGAAATCTGATCGGCCAACAACTTTCCAGCTGCTTCTGATTTTGCTTCAACTTCCCCTATATAAAATATTTTTGTTAGTAGGAACCGACTTTTCTACCGTTCTTTGTTTGGAAAAGAAAATAGTTTAATTTCCTTATAGTTCTTTTTTCATAAAATATGTTAATTAAATCATCCAAGCAATCATGAAAAATGTCAACCTAAATTGAACTTAAACTGACTTTTTAAAACCTAACTCAATTTTTGGGCTAATTGTGTCAATTTATTTTGGGACAAAAATAAAATAAAAAGATTTTTTTTTCAGTAAAGTAGAATGAAAAAAACAATTGAAATTAAAGTTTGGCTAATGAACTTTTTGTTATTAAAATGAAATGTATCAGTCAGAAAGACAAAAACTTTTTGTCTTTCTGACTGATGCGTTTCATTTTAATAACAAAAATTCGTTAGCCAAGCTTTAATTGGTGATAAACCAAACTTAAAAACAAACGAAAAAAAAACTTAAATGTAATCAATTTTTATCAAAAACATCAAGACTCTTAATGTTTTTGATAAAAAGTTATTACATTTCAGTTTTTTGTGTTTTTTTTTAAGTTTAGCTCATTAGCAACTAACGCTGAGTTTCGAAATCAAAATTGAAAATACAAGTATCAAAATTACAAAATTCATCGGCATGAGTGAAAACTTATGACGAGTTTCGTTTATTGTTTTTTTTTTACAAATAGTCCATTTTTGCATCATTACCTTCCATTTTGAAATGACTGTTTTTGCCTTTCGAGATCTGCTTCAATATTGACTGTTCAGTTGCTTCCATTCTGGATTCAAATTCGTCGTTTTGGTCTAAACACACAAACTCTAATACCTTTTACCCCAGTAACCAATCACTTTTGGCACTGTGCTATGTTTATAATTTAGAAAAATTGAGCCGCTTTTACAAAAAAGTATGGATGGAAATATGCCGAAAAAAAACTAACAAAAAATTGAAAATTGTCTTGTGCGTCTTGAAAAAATTTCGGGCCTCAAAACCCTCGAACGCATCAAACAAAACTTTTTTAAACAACGCAATACGAAGCGGATAAACCTCACGTTGCCATTTGTGCCAAATGAAGCAGAAAAAGACTTATGGGATTGTCTAGTATCCGAGTACAATGTTTTCGCTAATCGCAACATAAATATAGAGTGTAGAAACAAATGCAAAAAATTCATTAGCTGAATTATTGTCAGTTTGACGAATTTTTCAATCTGACAGTACGTTTAAAGTTGTCTAAACTGACAGAAACAGTAATTATGACGCGCTTTCGCAAATATTTGCAGCAAGAAAATTTTAAAGTTTTTTGGGTTGTTTCGAGATGATTTAGTTTGTATCCTGAACCTAATCATCATTTATAAAATCATTTCTCATGGAAACGAAACGAACAAAAAACAAGAGAACGCCTGAGAAAAAAATGAAAACACAAGCCAGACATGAGAACGAACCCTTCAACACTTTCAGTGCTTTTTCGATTGTGACTGATCGGCTTTCAGTCCTCCTCAATCTTTCTTCGATGCTTTCTTGGAACAGCTTCTCATCTAGTAACTGAAAATCTCTGGCTCTAAAAAGATTAACAAAATTATGGAAACTTCTGCAGGAGTTTAAATGAAATTGGCAATTTTATAGTCCCTTTTTTGCTTTTTTTTTCTGAAATTTGATTTAAAAAAATCTACTTGAATATACTTTTGATATTCTAAACTGCAAAAAATTGTGATTCAGCCAACAGATTGTTTCAACATTTCTTTCAACCGAATTGCCGTAATAACAAATTTTCAACGAATTAAGTTATAAATTTACCAAGTGGGTTAGAAAGAAACTGGAGAAGGGCCAGCTAGTTGTTCAATTGATGAACGAGTGAAAATATCATTACGAGGCCAAACTGTGCACTGGAAAGGCGCAAAATTTTGTGTCTGTTGTTTCTGGATTTCAGAAACAAGACTTTAAACATGTTAAAGTTATGTCGGAACGATCAAAAGAAATGAAAAAAACAAATGAAAGAAGAAAGCAAGCGTCCTTGTTGCGGAAACCGCTACAATTCACAAAATGCTCAGTTTGGTCTCGCAATGCTAAACGAACGTTAACTTACCCTCTTTCGTTGTTTGTAAAATTGTTTGGTAATCGAATGTTCAAAATGGTATCTTCTTTTAATTAATCATTTTGTTCAAAGTATTATAGTTCTTTTTCACCAACCTAATCACTTTGATGAATCAATGATCAAACAAGACTTTTTTCTTTTTTTTAGTCGTTTTCGTTCTTGTTATTAGTTGAAAATAATATGATTTTCATTACGAGGCCAAACTGTGGTTTTTTGATTTTAAAGTTGTTTCAGCTACAAAGACTATCTCTTTGTTCTTCTCTTGTTGTATCAATTACTTTGATAGTTTTGACAAAATTTACAATGTTCAATGACTTAAGGTTCTGACTTTCCTAAAGAAAGTAACCGAATATTTGTGCTCGGGTTTGTTTTTTCTTCAGACAAATTTCGATTTTTTAGCAAGTCATTTTCTACATCATTCAAAAAATATTGTTGTCTTGAGCTTAATTTTGAAAAGATCACTTTGATAGTTTTGACAAAATTTACAATGTTCAATGACTTAAGGTTCTGACTTTCCTAAAGAAAGTAACCGAATATTTGTGCTCAGGTTTGTTTTTTCTTCAGACAAATTTCGATTTTTTAACAAGTCATTTTCTACATCATTCAAAAAATATTGTTGTCTTGAGCTTAATTTTGAAAAGATCACTTTGATAGTTTTGACAAAATTTACAATGTTCAATGACTTAAGGTTCTGACTTTCCTAAAGAAACTAACCGAATATTTGTGCTCAGGTTTGTTTTTTCTTCAGACAAATTTCGATTTTTTAACAAGTCATTTTCTACATCATTCAAAAAATATTGTTGTATTGAGCTTAATTTTGAAAAGATAATTTACCTGTTATCATTTTTCGTAAAGTTATGGGGATTTAAAGATGGCCATTTCAGCCAATTTGGGAAAATTAAGTTCGATTTATTTAGCGCTATTAACGCGCAAGCGCAGATTTAACCCATCTCAAAAGTTGTTCCAAATTCGTTGAAGGAGGCTTAGTTGCCAGAATTAATTTGCTAAAGGGAGTAAAAATTTTATTTTTTTTACTTATTATTGCCTGTGGAGAGTAAAATTGTTTGGTAATCGAATGTTCAAAATGGTATCTTATTTTAATTAATCATTTTGTTCAAAGTATTATAGTTCTTTTTCACCAACCTAATCATTTTGATGAATCAATGATCAAACAAGACCTTTTTCTTTTTTTTAGTCGTTTTTGTTCTTGTTATTAGTTGAAAATAATATGATTTTCATTACGAGGCCAAACTGTGGTTTTTTGATTTTAAAGTTGTTTCAGCTACAAAGACTATCTCTTTGTTCTTCTCTTGTTGTATCAATTACTTTGATAGTTTTGACAAAATTTACAATGTTCAATGACTTAAGGTTCTGACTTTCCTAAAGAAAGTAACCGAATATTTGTGCTCGGGTTTGTTTTTTCTTCAGACAAATTTCGATTTTTTAACAAGTCATTTTCTACATCATTCAAGAAATATTGTTGTCTTGAGCTTAATTTTGAAAAGATCACTTTGATAGTTTTGACAAAATTTACAATGTTCAATGACTTAAGGTTCTGACTTTCCTAAAGAAAGTAACCGAATATTTGTGCTCAGGTTTGTTTTTTCTTCAGACAAATTTCGATTTTTTAACAGGTCATTTTCTACATCATTCAAAAAATATTGTTGTCTTGAGCTTAATTTTGAAAAGATCACTTTGATAGTTTTGACAAAATTTACAATGTTCAATGACTTAAGGTTCTGACTTTCCTAAAGAAAGTAACCGAATATTTGTGCTCAGGTTTGTTTTTTCTTCAGACAAATTTCGATTTTTTAACAAGTCATTTTCTACATCATTCAAAAAATATTGTTGTATTGAGCTTAATTTTGAAAAGATAATTTACCTGTTATCATTTTTCGTAAAGTTATGGGGATTTAAAGATGGCCATTTCAGCCAATTTGGGAAAATTAAGTTCGATTTATTTAGCGCTATTAACGCGCAAGCGCAGATTTAACCCATCTCAAAAGTTGTTCCAAATTCGTTGAAGGAGGCTTAGTTGCCAGAATTAATTTGCTAAAGGGAGTAAAAATTTTATTTTTTTTTTACTTATTAGTGCCTGTGGAGTGATGATTTTTAGAAAAACTCGTTTTATTTTATTAAATTTATTTTTTTCATGTTATTACTGCTTCATAGATTCATAGATCTTAAAAGGAAGTCAGAACATTCAGGGCTTCAAATTGATACGAGCAGTCCATGAGCACAGTTTGACCTCATAATGTTTTTTTGTTTGCATCAGTAATTTCAAGGAAAACTTAAGGTTTAATGTTGATACCGGAATTTTTCCCAATTCTCCAGCTCCTTCATCTCGCGTTTCTCTTGTGTTGTTGTCATTTTTCTCTGTTGTGGCAATTCTCCATTTATTATACTCATTCTGAGAGTATGTAAGTGGGAGATGACAATGAATGGAGGGGGAACCCAGGGACTAAAAAAGAAACGAGCCAACAATAATTGACTGTTATTGATCCCTCGAGATATTGTTTCGCAGGCTGCTTTAGATTGATGGAAAGGCAGATTAACTTAATTTTTTCGACTTTGGAAGAGTGCGGATGGATTGACTAAGATTGGGGTGTTTTTTTGAATCAATTTTGAAATTCTGAATTTTTACCTAAGCGTTTTTGAGAAAATTTCATTTTTACAATGGAGATATCGTTTTCTGGATCTCAAATTTATAAAGACACTTCAATTGTGACCGTTTTTGTTTGAAAAAAGGGGTATGAAAACTCGATATTTTGTCATATCGTAAGCGGGGACTTAATCTATCTAAGAAATCTTTGCAAACTAAATTGAGGCTTGCTATTTGGTATAATTAATACTTTGCTTTACGCAAAATAAAAACCTTTGTTAGGCTTATCCGGGTTGAGCTCCGTAGACCGAAGATACTAATCCAGATATTACAAAACAGAAAGTATGACAAATCCTAACTATACAAACTTTGGTTCTTTTTCCTATACCAACCCCCACATGCATATTTTTACATATAATGATGTTTGCACCAACCACTTGATGTAAATTGACATGCGGACTAATTAGGCCATAAGAAATATATTTGGTCTTCATAATCAATTTTGCATAACCACTTACTATACCACAAAATTGATGCCCATGTGAGGTTGGGGAGAAAAGGAAAAAAACTCAAAGTTCATACTTTTTAGCCAAAATCTTTTCATGGAAATATAAAATATTTGGCATAAATTTGGATTATCTTGATGATAAGAAATAAGCAATTTTGGTGAAAAGTTAGTCATGCAGATATAAATCGGAATTGTAAGACTAGCTTTTTCTTGATACTAACACTAATTATTTTGGAAATAGTTTCGAAATTAACACAAAAAATGTAATTTTTGAATGATGGACAAAAAGTGGTTGTTTTTCTGGTTTTCTAGATAACATCTGTGAAAACCGCTCAAACAAGTTTTTTATTTGGTTTGCCTTTTTAAGTATATCCCGGGAAATGTATGACATCGAAAATTTTGGTATCCGTAAAAATTTAGCCGAAATATAAAAGTTTTCTATTCTCATCATGTTGTTTGCTTATAGCATCTAAATTCTTGTCATTTCCAATACATTGCAAAAGTAAGACTGTTGAACATCTGGTGACTCTAGCATTTAATAACATGTGTGTTTGTTGCTTGCGTTCAGTTACAAACACATCCCAAAAGCTTTGAGAAGAAATGAAAGTTAAACAAAACACTTTTTCAGTTCATGAAAGAAGCCGAATCATAAAACTTTCTTTTATTAAAAATCAGTAATGATGAGCTTTTTGTACATTTTTCTGTTTTTAATCAAGTGCATGAAAAATGTATAATTCGCTTTAATCTATTCATGAAAGTTTCAGAAAGAACTTCATGAAAGTTTCAGAATCGATTCAGAAAAAAATTTCTCAAGAAAACCTATGATTTCAAAAACATTTTCATCAGTCTTTTTGTAAGCGAACTTAATATACTTAGACCTTCAGCGACCTTTGGATTTTTCAGGGCTTTGCTTTGATACAAGATGTCTTGAATATCTTTTTTTGATCCAGCTGCAATTGACATGTTCCGAAAAAAACATTGAAAACCTGACATATAAAATGCGTGTTCTTTTCATGTCTTTTTACTGTCAACATCCTTTTTGATAGAAGACATATACCAACTTTATTTACATTCTTCATGCTAGTATCAAATTGCTGTCTATGTTTTTTAAAACTGTTTTTTAGCAAGAAATAAGCATAAACTATTCATTATCCAGAATAGTTTGATTTATACTTTTCATGATTTTGTATGATTTTCTATAAATATTGCTAGAGTTTGACAAAAAATACTTAGAAGTCTTCCTCTAAAATGTGGTAAACTGGTGGATATTTCACAGAAAACAAAAAAAATTTATTTTTAACTGAAAAATTTTGCAAATCCTATGAAAGGCTGTCCGTTTTTGAAAGTGACATTTAGCGAACTCTGGGATTGATAAAACTCGGAAGAGTTCGAACAAAAAATTAGAGAAAAACATAAGTAGATGGTCATTGCTGATTTATGCAAAAGATTCATATTGGAGTTTGCCCTCATAGGCAAGTGAATTAAACCTTAATTTCCATGTTTTTCACCTGGCTTAGATTGAAATTGAGACAATGAGCTTATATGCGCCTTGCATGAATGGAAAATTAGAATGATATAAATCATAGGCCGATATACAAGCAGATGCAACCAAGTTGCACCAAGAAAAGAAAAATGCTGAGCGGCAGGTGTGTGACCTTGACACCACAAATGCAACTTAGACGTATATAACTGTAATGAGTGGCATGACATACCCGGTGTCACCAAAAAAAAATTCTAAGCGAAATAAAATTTTTAATAGATTCGTTAACATCACAAGGTCTATACTATAACACAATTAAGTTAGGTTGATAGCAACTGTTATGAAAAAATTGAGGTTGATGTATTGCATTGTTTTTAGAGGTTGATGTAGTTTTAAGAACAAGACATTTAAAATACTGGTAAAGTTTTCAAATTGAAAAAAAAACATGCACAATTTTTTTTTCTTTTATGTTTCTCTTATATTTATTAATATAGTATTATCGAAAGTTCACCGAGTTATGGAGAATTCTTAAGCGTCTAGAAAGGTATCCCTTCTCGCCTAGAAATTTCGTACCCCCTACTCCCTACTCGATGTACTCCAATGTAGAAACAAAGAGCTTTAACTTGAGATAAAAGGAATTAGGAAACCAAAGAAGGTATAACGAAGCCTCCATGGCCACTAAACTGTAAAATTACCGGTTATAGTATTCTTTAGTCACCAAAAACTGCTGCATTTTCCAATAAACAGTACTTTCATTATTCACATCATTGTATCTATTGTTGAAAATTGCAATGAGCAGATTGAGAAGTAGAACATTGGTGAACAACATGAAGAGTGCTTTCAGAATTAGAGCGACGATGGTGTTCGAATCATTGGGACAGTCCTCAAACGGCCACTCTGCGTCCGCACCTGTAAGAAATTGAATTAAATTGACTACTTGGCAAACTAGCAATACGAAAATCGAAGTTGAGTGCATGCTTCAATTCGATCAGCTCAGTCATATGACTAAGCGTACTGACAAACTCCATAATGAGCTTGATTTATTTGAGTTCTTTTTCAAAACCCCACCTCACATAAGCATTCCTTTTATGGTAAAACTTGAGGTTTTATAATTTTAACTAAGAAGACAAACATGTTCGTCATAACTTAATTAGTCCGCTTTCAATTTTTGTGAAAATCAGACAAAGTGAAAAGAAAATTACTGGTGAAAAATTTTTGCTAGGGGAAAAGAAAAAGAGATTTTTCGCGGTTTTTTAACAATACGATATTATCGATTTATGGCAGGGCGAACTTAGAGAGGGGAAGAGTTTTTTTTGGCTGCGGGGGGGGGGGTTTGGCTGCGGACGATCTTTTTCAAGTATTCGACCTCCTGCCGACCCAAAGTGCCCCCTTTGTACTATTTTTTGATAAAGGACCCTAACATTTTTCTGAAGGCGCTCTCTGCCCGAACCGGAGTTTCTCCGATTATTATCTATTATCTGGCACTTTTGTGGTCGCAGAGTAAAATAATCGATTATATGGAGAAAACAATCCATTATAAAGCTTTATTATTTTATGCCGATTATATTGGAATTATAATAGGTTTTAATTTAAACAAAATTGATATAAAAATTCGATCAAAAAACACGAAAATGTCCGACGTCAACTTTTTCAAATTCTTAGTTGCCTGAGCATGAAAATATGAGAATTTTAGCAACAAAACAAGCTTTTAAGTAATTTTCGAACTGAGTTTCAAGTTTTGTTACGTGTCTTGTTCTTACATCATTCTGTGCATTTCGAGACCTCACTCTATCCCATCAGGAGCCGATACACTAACTTTGAGGGGGATTGCGCGCCAAAAAAACGCTCAATTTTTTTTGGCCTTTTTTCAAAATTGCCCGGCAGCGCTGAAAATTTAGTCAAAATAAGGTGCTTCCAAAGAGAGCTCGGAAAAACAACAAAAAACTGAACAAGTTTTGATCATTTTGTACAAAAAAACTCATCTGATCATCATGACCATAATCGGTTAATTATACTATCTATTTTTTTTTTTACTTTTTGAAACAATTCAAAATATTTATCGGCAAGTTTTTGAACGCAAAAATTCTTGGACTAAAAATATTTACCTTTGGAACAGTTATCGTGTGTAGCTCCTATGTCATCGAATGTAGGCTCTCCCAACATCTCGAAGAAGGAGCGGAAGAACACCCCCCAAATTATGACGAAAGGCTCGGTGATTCCTGGGTAGATTAAAGATTGAACTGCAACTCCGTATGCCACTAGATACACTGAAACGTTCATTTTTTTCACAACTAGATACACCATTTACGGACTTTTTTTGAAAAAATTTTCTGAAAATTATCCAATTTTTTTTTTCAAATAACACGGCTTAAGATAAACCTGGATTAATTGAAACTCTCTCCATCCCGGTTAGATGATAGACAGGTTTTTACTCAGCCAGTATTTGACAAAATCTTACGTTTTCCTACTATTCTGACTGCAAAAAATAAACTTAATGGGATCAACCCAGACATACTTGAACACTCTTGGCCAAAATAAATTAAAATAACTACCAAAACAGTACGAAACTCATATTTGATTTTAAAAAAATTTATTCTCAAAAACATAAACTTATGGTTTTTAATGGAACTCAAGCACTTCCGTTTAATTATTGTTTCTCCTTTTTATCAGGGACAAAATAAGTGCACAATAATCATCTGTCAATTTTGCTGAAATTTTCGATCAGAAGAAACAAATGTAACAGCAAACGAATACACTTGATAAAATTTCTTAAATCTGTTTTCAAGAGAAGTTGTCATCAACTGAAGCGACATTTCGAAATACTTTTCACTTCCTATTCACAGAAAATGTTTGGCTCGAATTGTTTTTAATGCAACTGTTGCGTAGAAATTCTGCCATTTGTAGAGCTTGTCATTTTATGTCATTTGCGTATGACGTCATCTGAAACGCAATCTGGATTACATTACAAGACTAAACAGTGTTTTTTGTATTAGCGGATTCCGCAACGAGCTGAAAAGATTAATTGCGGAAACAGCAACACGGATATATTTTTTTCATTTCTTGATGTGAACTATTCCGAGAACAAAAGTAATTAAATTACTATATGGCTTAAACTCGCTCCAAGATCAGAAAAACTGTGGATATCAGAACAAAAATGTAAAAACCAGAAGAGTTTGAGGAACCCTCAAATAAAAAAAACTACAATACGCATTTCATTTTTGCGGATGCCGCTTACATTTGCACAATTCAGTTACAGTTTCCGTAATCTTTTCATATCAATACATTATACATTACAATTTTTTAGAATCCACATATATTTGCAGATTCTGCTCAAAGTTTGCGAAATCCGTAAGCATGTTGCTGTTTCCGCCTATAGTTTTTAGAATTCACCTGCAAATTGCGGTTTCCTAATACATTTGCCTCTTTTATTCGTTTAACTGATGCGGCGACCAAACTTACTTTGCAGTTTGTTTGTTCGCGTTCTTCATTTAATCCACGGAAATTTGTGAATGAAAACCACATACCATTTGGAACATGTTTAAAAACTTCTCTCTGGATTCCAGTGACTTATACACATCAGACGTTGCGCACCTCTAATGCAAGCAAAATTTGGCCTCGTTATGTATGTTTCAAACTTCACGAAAACTTTCAACACTCGCAAAGACGTGATACATTTTTGAGAAAGTAAACAATTAACCTAGTGCAATGCAGACCCAGTATTTGAGGTCGTCTTTGATCATTTTTGAGATGGTCAGTATTTTCGGTCCTAGATAATTGTGCACAGAGAACAGGCTGGTAGAGCGCACAAAGTAGACAATTAGAGACCCCACATAAAAGACTTGCGCCACATTCAACAGCCCTGAAAAACATGCAAAATTGGAAACCAAGAAAAGAATCTATTGTTAAAAATTTTAAATTGCAGATCCATTTATCGTCTAAAACTGCTATACACTGTCACAGTTTGTTGATTTTTAATTGCCAAATACATTCATTCAATGAAAAAACGTGACAAACAAATTCGACTCACCCCAATCTTTGTTCATGCGCATGAAAAGTCCGGGTAGAAACATCACCAGCCCCAGAAGATCAACATAATTCCATCTAGAGGAAAAGACATAGTTTTGATAAAAAGTCATTAAAATTGTTTTAAAATGATAATGTTCAGACTAAATTCGATACTTTAAAACTTCCAATCAATAACAACTACAGCCACTGTTTCTTAGAATCCCGGGTTGACAAAAACTTGTCATCAATTTTTTCTGTGATGAAAACTTTTTATCCTACTTAGAGAAAAATTGCAGGAAATTTTACTGGCGTCATCTTTTCATCCTTGAAAGCTGTACGAATAGCAGTTTTTTAAACATGAAACTTATATGCTAGCGTTTTTTCATTGAAGAAAATCAAATAAAAAAATTGTTTCCGTGTTGAAATTTTGTGTTTTGTTTCAAGCAAGAAAGAGCAAGAGTTTCTCGCTCTGGTGTCTCATGGAAAATTACCAAGCTTATTGCAATTTCAAGTTCAGTCTCATAAAATTTTATTTTAGCCATACAAGTTTATACAATCGTTTAAAATGGCTTGTTATTTTTTTGTCGAATTCAATTCCACCAACTAAAGTAGATTAAGATTGTTTCTTTCCTAAATGAATAATATTTCGTAAACCTTCAATCACAGTGAAGTGTAATCAAAAATTGACAGTTGCTGTAGCTTAACATATTTTGCATTAGAAAAAGAAGATATGCTTTGGCTTGAAATTTTGCTAGCTCCTATCAAATTTTCGTTTCCAATGTTTCTTATTAAATTTTTTTTCAAATCAAAATCAAAAGGTACACATTATGGTAAGATGTTTTCCCGGGTTGAACAAAAAGGCTCGTCGTACAATTTTTCATTTAAATAATTTTCCTTTTTTGAAATGATAAATTTTAATTTAGGTAAAAATACGAATCATATATGTTTTTTGCAATTCCATAAGTACAGAAACTTGCATGGAAGTGGAAGGTCTCTGACTAGAATTTTTCCAGCAACCAAAAATTTATTATTATTTTCAATTTAACCTAAGTTTTTGAGTGGTGTTCGTTACTCAAAAGTAGAGTTGTCACATGCTTGACCGTCTTGCAATTTGAATGCTTTGGAAACGGCCTTATTTGACCTAGCGTTGTCTTACGCAAAAATTGTAACCAAAGTATCAAGCTCTTAAATTTTAGCAAAAATTTACGAAGATAACTGTTCTTAATGGGAGTTTTATTTATTCATGCATTGATCAAGGCATACCTAAAATTCCATTTAAATTAGATAAGCAATTAAAACAATTGATAAAATGTATCCAGAGCAACGGAAAAAAACTCAATTTTTGTCTATCAAGACTACGTTATGTACACAAAAGCTAAATTTTTGCAAGCAAAGTTTTTTTTAGAAATTGTTTGTTTGAGTACAAAATTCGTTTTGCGATCAAGGAAAAAAAACAAAAACAGAGGCAATTTTGAAACTATCATGAAATTCCGCCATCAAAAAATGAAATCATAGATATTCCATATATGGAAATTATTTGATTAGAATTTTTTTACGAGAAAAATTTTCATTTTTATATATGAAGATACACCTACCTATATGCCAAACAAGAAAAAAATTCTCAAAAAATTGATGACACCAATTTAGCAAAATGTATGATTTTTGCATGATTAGTTTTTTTTCATAGACTTGGTTTATTGATTTGTGTTACTAGCGTTTTTGGTCTGTGGAGATCAAACCGAGTTCTTTTATTCCTTTTCCGCTTGTCAAAAACACTAAATCAAGCTAATGGGCGAAGTGAAATCTGTAATTGAAGTGAATTTGTTGCAAACCCATCAATTTGGAAGCCTGGTTAATTGGTAATTTCGTATTGGGTTGTTGCATTAAAAAAAACTTGTTTACCTGTTCTCGAAAAAGACCTTACAGCGTCTCTTCAATGTCCCCTCTGATATGATAAGGAACTGTCTCAACTCTTCTAGCGCTAAGCTCAGCACCCAGACCATGACAAGATACTCATCCCATCTAGGCTTTGCTTTCAGACCTGAACAGCAAAGAAGTTTGGGTAGCTCGATACTAATATTAGATAGTTTTGAAATTACAAAGCATGTATTCCTATATTGAATTTTTTTAGTAAGCGGCAAAATTCATTTTTATTCCATCATAATCGGTTTTTGCTTTTTGTGGACGCTGACAATGAAACTCAATTTTAATAGATTTTTCTCTACTTAATTGAGTTGAAAATTTCAACGCACATGAAGCCTTTTCTACTTTTTAAAATAGAGTTGGTAATTTTGAATTATTCTAAAACATTGATGAATAACATCGATAACATTGTTTCTCTTTTATGTTACCCAATAGCTGAATTTTTTTCCGTTCAACAAATGACCGCTTTTATCCCCTCAAGTGTTTGCCCCTTTGCCCCCTTTGTACCCTTACACCTGCCATCCCCCACCTGAACCAGTCCCAACCCCCCTCAACCAAATGAATCCCAATTGAACTTCAACCCTCCCCCCCCCAACAGCCACCCAACCTGAACTGCATCTGAGGGTGGGGGGTTTCAAGTGTATTAGGGGGTTGTTGGTTCAGATGCGGGTTCGGTTGATTCAGGGGGGGTGTGTTCTGGTGTCGGCGGGGAAGGGGGGGGGGGGGGTGTTTCCCAAAAGGCCAGGTGGGGGATCAAGTGTAGGGGGGGTGTTGGCAACGGGGCAAACGTTGGGGTGGGGGTTGTAAGGGAACAAATGGCCAAACTTTAGGGGGGAGAGGTCAACGAAACGGTTTTGCAATTTGAGTTTAGTTTTAGAAATGGAGAAGGCTGTACTGTACGTACACTCACTTTGCAAAGACTTCGCTTTGTTCGTTTTCTACATGCAGAATTTCTTGCAAAATTTTGCACAACGCGAAACAAAAACCAAGTGGAAAAATTCATTTTTGTGTGATTTTATATTTGTTTTATAATCCATTAAAACGGATTTCAAATGAATTGTAATGTATTAATATTTTGCGAGAAAAAATGGATTTAAAATCATTTTTTTGTCCTATTTTGTTGTCTAAGCCTAACATTGGAATCAATTATATTGACAAAGTTTTAAAGCACAAAAATCCGTTATAATCATTCTTGATTATAACCACACAAACAAAATTCTTGATTTTTTGCAGAAGAGATTCATTTTGCAAGATTCTTTCAAGGTTTGCATTCCATTTGAAAAAACATGCAAGAGTTTGCATCCTTTCTAAAAATATTAGAAAATTTTTTGTTGACTTTCGTATATTCCGTGACTTTTAAAAAACCTTCTACTCTCCAGCTGAAATTGGGCAAATTCTCTTAACGGAGATTGCTGGTTTATGGAACAAGCAATTCTCTTCAGGTAATTAAATGATTTTAACAAGATTATTGCTGATTTAAAAAAAACAAAGGCACTTGAGGCATTTATTTGATTAAGCAACCGTAAGAGTGTGAATCCTTTTAAAAAATTTTTATAAGAAACTCTGCTGGTTTTGTATTTTCAGTGCTTTTTCAAAACTCTCCGCAAAATCGATTCTGTAGATGGTCCGCAAAATCTCACAGCAGAGATTGTTGGTTTCTAAGAAAAGCAATGTTCTTATGGTATAAGGATGATTCAAAGAAAAATTGCAAAATCTGCATAAAGAAAAAACAGCAGTCTCTGCTCTGAAATTTTCCCGAAAATCTGCTGGAGATTGGGAAAACTTTAGAAAAACCGAAGTTACTAAAATCAGCAAAATGGAAAACGTAACTTTTTAAAAAATCAGTATCATTACAATGCCAAGCTCGGGTACTTTGGCAGTGGTTTGGACTCCGATTACTTTTTCCCTGGACTGCGCATCATTTGCGTTGGTTTCTGTAACATTTCGAAAAGCTTTTAAAGTCGGAAATCTGATGGAATCGAAAGCCAATTCTTAAGATATAGCTGAGAAAACTGAGATTTAGCTAGCGAGCAAGAGATTGGAATCCAGTGACCATACGGATTTTGGAGATAAAGGTAAAGCCATGCTTTGATTTGGATTCCGCAGACAAATGCTTTGTTGCAAGTTGGAGTAAGTTTGAATTGAAATGTTGCTCGATTCAACTGTTTGTCATTGAAGTTTACGAAGCGGATTGAAGCGGATTCCACTGACAAATCGAGAAACACGAAAGTTTTAATAAGCTTAAGCCTTGGTTTTAGCTATCTCTAGAGGATATATTGTTCTAGAGGCAGGTATCAGTGAACTGATTAAATCAGTTTGACTTTTGTTTGAATGATTGATTGAAAAAAAGAGATGCTTGTGAAAAGTAATTTTCTTCAACTTTTCTATATAAAACTACTGAGTAAACTGATACAATTTCAAATGAGTTGATTACATTCCGCTCTGTTCCACTAATGTTTACATGGAAATCGAACAAAAAGTTGAACTGAAAAACAGAAAGCTTACAAGTTGTGTGGGGGAGTGTGAACACTTTGTCAGACCTCAATCAGACTTAGTAAAACTAAAGTCTCAACAAATTGCGTGGCACTGGGATAACTTAGGGTAGGGTAAGACTAAGAAGGTTAGGAGTACCGCAAAATTAATCACAGTGACAATCTCGCTGAAAAAAAATCTATTTCAAACTTTTTCAACTTTCAATTCAGGGGCGGATTTAGGGGGTTGGCCTAAAAAATGCCTCTGAAATATGTGCAGTATGTCAATGGTAGTACACTCAAGGCAGAAAATTAATTATAATTTCTTCATCTTATAATTTCTTCATCTTCGAGTATTTTCATTCTAAAATGAAAAGGTGATTTTTGGTCTGAACAGTGGGTTAAGAGGGAGTTGTCCCACTGGATGAGAAATCATTGATGTCGAGGGGGGATAATTGTTTCAATTTCGGAGAGTGACTCATCTTGAGTGCAAAACCATTTGATCAAAAATTTTAACCGAAACAAATTGTATACAAGAAAAAAAAAGAAGAATAGTTAAAAAAAAACTAACGAAAGAAAACCAGGATTGTCTTCGCAATTACTTTCTTCATTACTCTTTAAAAAAGGTTGGCCTACAATGAATACTTGATTTTACTGTTAGTTTTATTGCCGCGACTCATTTTTTTGAAAACATGAATCTCCACCTAAAAAACAGTGTCTCCTTTAAAAGTGAAAGATATAGTTAAAATTCCAAGTTGAAAGCACTAAAATTAAATACGTTTTTTGTTGCAGTTTTCCTCAGAAACTCAGCTTGCTAACTTGTAATTTGACAGAGCACAATGTAAAAGTTTTATTGGCCCGTTGTATTTGAAGGAGACGGTGAAAACTGAACTCCCATTTCAAAAGCACTAAAACTTATAACAGTTTTTTTTGTGTTTTCATCAGTATATCTTCTCGTTAAGTTTTAATTTGACTTAAGAAAAAAAATAGTAAAGTGTTCATTTCCACATTATACCGCAATTTTTGAAAAAGCATTGATCATTACAAAACCAGCAAAAAATTATAAAGTTATTCTCTGAAAAAACAGTCTTCAGAGAAATATATTGGTTTTCTTAAATAACTAAAAAGTTTTATAACAAAATCAGTTTGATTTTGCAGATTGAAAGTAATCAGATGTTTTTACCGCCATGAACATTTTAGCACCCAAAATCTTTAAAAAAAACAAACAAAAAATTTCATACAAGTTGCTGGGAGTAAAAACCTGCAATAAGCACTCTATGTGTTCAACGCAATGCAAGTCTTGCAGGATTTTTGCACGACTTGCATACCAAATTGAGAACAAAAAATTTCACTTTTTTTTAAGATTTGCTTGTGATATTAGAATGCAAATCTTGCAATGCTCTTACAGGATTCTAGCATGATTTAAAACTCCAGCCAACTAGGACCAGCAAATGTTTTGAGCAGTTTCTAAGATTTTTCATTTTTTTGTAAAACATGCTCGGAATCATTTGTCGCTGGTCTGGAAAAGAAAAGTTCTATATGTCTAAGTTTTAGAGAAAAAGCACTTTTTTGATCTAAAACTGAAAGCCTGGTTGAAATTTAAGCGCTTCAGTAATTTAAAATTTAACCTGATTACATTGTATTGAACAGGTCAATAATCAAGATATCTCACGATAAATAAATGAGTTGGCAACCGAACTCATTACAAGCAAACAAATTTTTAACTGACAAACTATATTTTAATTTCAACCTCAAAATTATTTTTCAGTTCAGCTACCAGAGACAAAGGATGAGTCTCAATCTTTGCAACTTAAAAGTCACTGAAATTAGGAATCTTTGCAAACTAAAGAATGAAAACACTATTTTTTTCTTTTTTGTTTTTCACAATTTTTTTCGGGCAAATTTCTACAAGTTTTTTTCAGGGAAAAAACGGTGAATTAGTGATACTATTCTGAATGTTTCTCTAAGTTTGATTTCTTCTTCTGGCTTTAACCTATTAATTTCACCTAGAATTTGAGTCTCGAATATACTGGAAAAAACGTAGAACGAAAAAAAGAAAAAAAGAAGAAGAATAATTTGACCGTACTCAAAAGGAAAGGAAACCAAGATTGTCTTCGCATTTCTTCTTCCGTTTGCTCTTTCGAAAAAGCTTGGCCTACAACAAAAACTTGAGTTTACCATTTTTTGTTATTTTTTTCGCGTCTCCCAATTTATTTTACAACACGTCATTCAACCTCACAAAACTGAGTTTTTCAATTTGAAAGAGATAAATAAAGTTTCCATTTGAAAGCACTGAAAAAAAAACACTTTTATTTTGCAGAGTTCCCTAAAAACTCAATTTGGTAACTTGGTGTTCGACAGAACATAAGGTAAAAATTTAATGGCCTGTTGTATTTGAATGATAAAGTGAAAAGTGAACTCCAATTTGAAAGCATTCAAAGCTGAAAAACGATTTTTTTTTACATTTTCGTCAGTACCTCTTCTTGTTAACTTTGATTCGACTTTAGAAAAAATAATGTTAATTTCCCCATTATACCTCATCTTATCAAAATTGTGATTCATTTTAAAGTAAAAAAAATAGACTTTTCTAACATAAGTGTAATAGATATGATCAAAAACATTAACTATAAAATTACTAATAGCAGCG